CGTTTCACGGTTGATCATAGGCTTAAACGGTAATGATATTCGGCAGTCGGAAAAAAAAATATTGTAGTGGGTTAAATTTCCTCATATATATCAACTTTAATATCACTATCAACATGAATATAAGGTGATCCAAATAGGTTGACACTAACGAGGGTCAACTGTATAAGAATGACTTGTAACTGTAATGGCTTGTGCTAATCCGTTATCCATTTTAAAATTTGAAAATTATTGCGTATTAATAATAAAACCTTCATTCCTTTCAGAATTATAAATATCTGCCAAAATTGGAATACTAATAGAATGATTAATCTTTATGTTAGACATTCCTAGAATAGACCCGGAATTTACATATTTATCATAAAAACTAAATGTATGTAATTTAAGAAAATTATTTATGCGTGGTGTCCAGTAAATTTGTAAACTTTTAGGTGTAATGCTAAGCTGAAAGTGCTAATTGGAAGTGATAATCATATAGAGCCCATTGTTGTTGATCAAACAAGTAAAAACGATCTACATTATGATGTTTTTTTAGGACAAAAAATATTAGAGTAATGCTAGCTTTAGGGTTAGAAAAGGTTATAATTTATATTAAAATTTCGCAAGAAATCTTTTTTTTAAAACATCTAAAATAGGTTTTATAATCAAAATTTCAAGATATCAATATACACTAGAATACAAATAGAAATTATCTTAAATATATTAGTATATTATTTATGTAATAAATACTTTTTATAAAAAAAAATTTATTGTAATTAGACACCCAATATAATTATTATATAATAATTGATACCAAAAAAGTAGAGATATTTTTAGAGTATATTTGTGTATATCAAAGAAGTAGATGCAGAAGCATCAAAATCATAAGTTTTGCATCCCAGTATTGCTATTAGAATGTTTAGAATTATATGTAAAGACAGCAAATTATACATGTAACAAGTTATAAATTATATAAATTATGTGAATTTTAAATTATTAGGCAATAAAAATTTTTAAAAAAATATCTGGTAATTAATCTACAAAATTTTTTATGGTATATGATTACTAGTGATTTTAACAATATTCTTTTGGTGCTTTTTATGATATTCTTTCAGTAACTTTTACTCTTGGTGCTTTTTATGTTATTTTTTCAGTATATTTTATTATTTTTTGATGCTTTTATATATCTTTTAATTTTTTTACTTTGTTTTTTTATAGTTTTTATGTTATTCTTTTGATGTTTTTTAATGTGCTTTTGGTCTTTTTATTGTTTTTTTGTGCTTTTTTATTGTTTTTTTTTGTGCCTTTTGTATCATTTCTTTAGTGCATTTTCATTATTTCTTCAGTGCTATTTTTTATTATTCTTTTAGTACCTTCTTTTGACATTCTTTTAGTGCTTCTTTTAACATTTTTTGGTATTTTTCAGTCCTTTTTTGATAATTTTTCTGAGTTCTTTCAATACTTTTTTCAATATTTTTAGTGATTCTTTTATGTTTTTTTTAATGTTTTTTAGATGTATCCATTGACATTCTTTATGTTTTTTTAACATTTTTCAGTGCTTCTTTTGATTTTTTTAGATTTTTTCATTGTTTTTTTTAGTATTTTTTGACATTTTTTGATACTTCTTTGACATTCTTTTGATGTTTCTTTGATATTTTTTATTATTTTTTTTGTTATTTTTTGTTATAATATTGTAAATTAGCTAATTTTATATGCAATTGCAATTATAATAATAATAAAATTTTTAAAATTAAATATATATAAAATGTATAATATTTTTTTGACAAAGTAAACATTAAGGTATACATAAAGATAAACATTCAGATGAACAATGAGATAAACATTTATATGAATATAGAAGTGAATATTTAGATGAATGTTAAAATGAAAATTTAAATAAATATTAAGATGAATGTTCAGATAAATGTTTAGGTAAACATTGAAGTAAACATTAAGATGAATGTTCAGGTGAACATTGAGATTAACATTCAGATAAATGTTAAGATAAATATTTAGATAAATGTTAAGGTGAATGTTCAGGTAAATATTGAGATTAATGATCAGGTGAATGTTGAAGTAAATGTTTAGATAAACATTGAGGTGAACATTCAGATGAATGTTGAGATGAATATTTAATGAACATTCAGATGAATGTTGAGGTCAACGTTCAGGAATACACTAAGATAAATGTTTAAATGAACATTGAGGTGAACATTTAGATAAACATTGAGGTGAACATTCAAATGAATTGAGGTGAACGTTCACCTTAACATTGAGTAAATGTTGAGGCAAACGTTGAGGTAAACATTGACATTAATATTTCAATGTAATTATATTACTTGCAGAAATTAGTACATATTATAGTAAAGTGGCTTAGTCACATGCTAGACAATTTTTTGTGGATGATCCACAGGAGTTCAAAATGAATGACAAGTCAGGTGATTTCAGTCACAGGGACAAACCAGTTATTCATTTAACCAATCAGTTTTTGTTTACATGCTGCATGAAAGTGAGCAAATTATGCGCGTATCATAATCCTGGACACCCTAATCGCCATCAAAATGTCACTGTCACGTGACGATATACATCAGATTAGCCAATAATTAATCACTATTTGATGTAATACGAGCGTGAAGAGCCAAAACAACGTCAATTTTGTCAAAAATCATTTATTTACAAAAATACACATAAGAAGTCGCCTTTCGTGTACTAACAAAAAAAATTCCTTGAAAAATTTTACTATAGCATCCTCATTCTCTAACATTAGTTTAAACGCTAGCCCAAACATAAATGAACTTAAAAATTTTTCGGTGGTCACATGAAAGTGACATTTTTGATGTGATACTGGGGAAGATATCCCTATGCACTGTCCGTAGGACGTCCGGATATTGGGGAAGATGTTCCTGAACGGCACTACGTGCTGCGCAGCTACCTTATTGTTTATAGAATATTCAACCTTTACATATAACGTTGGGTTTAAAATTTATAAATATTTATGTTTCATCAAATTTCATAAATAAAGTACAGAATTTTTAAAATAATATTCTAAACGAAAAACTGGATTAATCTTTCCAACATTACCATATTCTCGTGATTAAAATTACAAAATTTTAAAGGAATTATTTTAAAAGAAAAAATTAAGAATCAAACTTTAGCAGTTGATTTTTCCTAGTGATACAATCAATAATGATGCGAAAACATCCATAATTTAACGTATACCTTGAGAAGTAACAATGTCTACATTTGCCTCTGCACAAATTCTTTCTAATCTTGTAGCAAAAGCAAAATTCCCTACACCTCCTGTGATTATACCTTTTAAATCCGCTCTAGAAGTCCGTAAATCACCGCTAATTATATCCATATGATAAGTAAATACTGGCCCTCCAACATCTCTATCGTCATTTTCAGCCTGTATAACGTACATGCTACTATAAGAATAATAAAAAATAGCACTGAAGAAATAATGAAAATGCACTAAAGAAATGATAC